TTTTGTCTTTTTTCATCCAGACTAACTATGTAACTAGACAGCCCCAAATGGGGAGGGTAACCTTGGCACTTTTTGAGTTAGCGTGCTCTTTCTCCTAGACAGGCATCCACTCCTTACCCTTACCCAGTATTTCTATCGGTCCTTCAATTCAGATAACTCTGTCTGGTGCTATCCTTTCTGTCAGTTTCCTGATGGCCACCTCCCATGAAGACATATGTTCAGTTGCAGGTGAATCTATTGATTTCCCACCTACAAAGGCTATAGGTGAGTCCATGCCTCTAGGTATTTGCTACTGACATGCTCTGTCTGCTACTGACATAGTTACATAGTTTGCAAGGTTGAAAAAGACAGTCTAGTTCAACCAACAGCAAAAAAAAAAAAATACATTGAATAAATAAATATAAAATGAAGAAGGCAACCCCCCCCATAAAGCATGGTCCAGTTTGCTTAAGCAGGGCAAAATTAAATTTCTTTCTAATCCCCCAGAAGGTCATCAGACATTCCCCGAATCAACAATCTCTGGTGTTACATTCCCCGAATCAACAATCTCTGGTGTTACATTCCCCGAATCAACAATCTCTGGTGTTATTACCAGGCTTTTTTTTCAGAGAATAGGTACAGGATTTCCCCCCTCCAACTTACCCCTTTCCTCCATCCCCTACGCACCTCTGAGCACCATCACTTGGTTTCACCCCTACTCACCTCCCAGTACCACATCTTTTAAACCCTCCCCACACCCCTGCAACAGTAGACCCCCACAACAAAATAATACCACCCTAACAACATTAGACCCACTGCAGCAACAACAAATCTCCCAGCAGCCAGCATTAATAGACTTTCCAGCAACCAGTAACAAAAGACCTCTCCCTCAACAGTAGATCCCTCTCAGCAACAATTAACCCCCAGCAACATAAGATTCCCCCAGCAACAATATACCCCCATGGAAAAAAAGGATCCCCTCCAGTGACAGCATCCAGCATCAATAGACCTTCCAGCACCCCTGGCCATTACGTACACTCAGTGCTGGAGGTGTCAGAACTGCGTTCCTCTGCGTTCCCACTGACAAAAAGCCCTGGTTATTACTAATAAATGCTAATATCCGGTTATACAGTATGTTAGGCACTTAGGAATGCATCCAACTTAAAACAATCTACTGAGATGGCCAGAACTAGTTCTTGGGGGAATCTATGCCTCATTTTCACAGTAAAAGTTGAAGTTTCCTCCTGACTTAGAGTTCCCCCTTGTCCTTTGAGAGATATAACGTGTGACTGCATAGCATAATAAGATTCTGTAACAACAGAGAGTCAGGCTGATAACACTGTTCAACAGGTAAAAAGTTTTGGGCATAAAATTAGCTAATCTTACATAATTTTGGGGTGCTGAAAACGAAAATGACCCTAAAAATTGTTGATTGGCTCTAGTTTCCATGATATATTCACCCATCTAATGACGTAAGCCATTCAAAATTATGATGCAACTTCAGCTGCATATTGCGCAATTGATACTGGTGACCAATAGAAAATTGCATGTATACTGAGATGATGCAATATTAGCCTTTAATTGCATCACTTCACTGCATAAAAGCTGCAGTATCTGTAGCTGATTGTAGTTCGACAGCGTCTTTACATTTCGTTTTATGCTTATATAGGCTACTCAGTAATGCCTCGAACTTGTGTGAATAAAGCAGATAATTTCTGCTATATCTGCGGTGAAATAACTTTTATCTCACAAAAAAGGAGGATAACAGGAATGATTAAGAAAGCCTACAACTTGTATTCTGGCTGCAAGATAGGAGACCAGGACAAGAGCTGGGCACCACATATATGCTGCAATTCTTGTGGGACGGCACTGGAGCAATGGTTGAATGGAAAAAAGGCATCTATGCCTTTCGCTGTGCCAATGATTTGGAGAGAGCCAACAGATCATGTTAGTAATTGTTACTTTTGTATGGTGCCTCCAACAAAAGGGCTAAATAAGAAGAAAAAGTTATCTGTGCACTATCCAAATATTCCATCGGCAATACGTCCAGTTCCTCATGGAGAGGGGCTACCAATTCCTAAAGCACCAGAATCCTTCGTGGTTGAGTCAAGTGAGGAAGAACCTGAAGCGTGTAGTCACGTGCAGTTGTAAGAGATAGCCCTTTCCTCGAATACAAGAGAAAAGCCAAGAGAAGCAAAACCGACACAAACTGAAGACAAAACTAGTGAGAATCCTAAGTATTAAAATGATTCAACTTAGCTTATGGCTATAATTTTTCTTGGTAATCCTATGCAATATATTATGCCATTTAGGCTTTGTTATGTAGTCAATATCACTTGCTTTATATTTGTGGAAAGACATCTATCTATATAATTATTGTACATTATGTAGTCATTACGCCTATAGTAGAAAACTTTCCGTTTACAGAAAAACTAGAGCCAATTGACAAATTTCATTGTTATATTTGAACTCAGAATGTGAAATTCATTAAGAAATGGATCCTTTTGTTTCCAAAACTGGCAAAAAATAAAAATTTGTTGAACAGTGTAATCGGTACTTCAGTTCATCATTGCAGAGCACTTGCAATTACACTCATAAAAAGTGTCCCCCAGAGTGAAGTCCAGGATAGCTTTGGTAAAACAAGTGAACAGCTGAAGGGATCCACCCCACTGGAAATGCAGTACAATGGTAGAAATTGGGGAAGCTGTTCCCACAAAGTTGCTTGCTATTGGCATCTGGTCCGTCTGCCCAGTACCCTGATGATGTCACATCTGACAAAACTTGTTGGGCGGAGCTGGAACACATGCCACTGCGCATGCACTGCGCATGTGCAAACTAGTCATCTTGATTTTGGGAAACGATCTGTACACGTGATTTAAAGTGCCTGTTTGGCATCTGCTTATTGTACTGTAAGTGCATATACACTGTTACGGATCCGCCAGGTGGTACCTCTGGCAGCCCACTAGGCGGAATCACCCGGAGCGTGGAGTCTAAGTCCCGGTCTGCGATTTCACCAGGGCCCCCGATGGTGGGGATGGACTTGGAGCAGAACCAGGACCAGGTCACGACCTCCGAGCAATACCACCAGTGGCAGAGGGAACCTCCGGGGATGAGAGTAAGACAGAATAGAGCCAGATGTGAGGAGGCCGGCAGGACCAGGCAGGATAAACCGGCGGTTGTCACCGTGGGAAATGGCGAGGTACAGAGACGGCAGGCGGAGAGTGGTCAGGTCACACGCAGGGTCAGTTACCGGAGTCAGTCCGCAGAATGGTCAAACAAGCCGGGGGTCGGGATAGGAGAAGGCAGCGTAGTCAGGGGCAATCCGGGTCAAACACAGGAGAAGGCAGCGTAGTCAGGGGCAATCCGGGTCAAACACAGGAGAAGGCAGCGTAGTCAGGGGCAATCCGGGTCAAACACAGGAGAAGGCAGCGTAGTCAGGGGCAATCCGGGTCAAACACAGGAGAAGGCAGCGTAGTCAGGTAATCTGGGTCAGGGCTAGAGCAGGCAGAAGGTCAAACAATTTGGGTCTTTAATCACAGGGCACGGGAACTACAGGTAACAGATCAGACCTTGCGGCGATTTGTGACAGTGCAGGGCATCTTTAAATATCGCGCCCTGCACTGTCATTGGCCGCCCAGGACGCGCCCCCGGGCTGTCATTGGCCGCCCAAGGCGCGCCCGCGGTTCCTACTGCGCATGTGCGGCCTCCTGTCAGCCGCGGCCCGCCGGGACCTGGTGCCTGTGTCCCGGCGTGAGCCGCCGCTAGTGCGCATGCGCCGGGGACGGAGCCGCGGCGGTCCCTGACATACTCCATTAAAATTTGCATTTCTTTACTGGTTTACACTATGGGGAATATATATATGTCCAGATGAGTTCTGATCCATGGGAATGTAGCGGTGTGGATTTTTTTAATAAGTACTGGAGTATAGGTGAATATCCTGTGAAGTTTACAGAGCTCTGTTTGACCGCTCATTACAGGGAGTCATTAAATTCCGGTAAGCCCACCTTTTTTTTTTTTACACACTGAGGTGGTATGTGTCTTTGATACAGGAAAGCTTTTGGGATTTACATCTGTTCTTCTTCTTGCCCATAGAAGACTACTCAGTACATCTTTTTGCCATTCACTTGGGACTTTTGTTTTTTTTCACTTTTCACACACATATATATTGATGCAATTTTGAGATATATGTTTTTTTGTGTAATAAATCTCATTGTGATTTATATAGCTCTGCAGCACTATTGTTGGTTATATTTACACTCACCGGCCACTTTATTAGGTACACCTGTTCAATTGCTTGGTAACACAAATTGCTTAACAGCCAATCACATGGCAGCAACTCAAAGCATTTAGGCATCTAGATGTGGTGAAGACAACTTGCTGAAGTTCAAACCGAGCATCAGAATGGGGAAGAAATGGTTGTTGGTTACAGACGGGCTGGTCTTAATATTTCAAAAACTGCTGATCTACTGGCATTTTGATACACAACCATCTCTAGGGTTTACAGAGAATGGTCCAAAAAAGTGAATATATCCAGTGAGTGGCAGTTGTGTGGATGAAAATGCCTTGTTGACGTCAGAGGTCAGAGGAGAATGGGCAGACTGGTTTGCTGCAACATTCAGATGGTCGGGTCAGAATTTAAACATATATAAATATATATATATATATCATCATTTAAACATTACAAAGAATATAACAGAATATGCAAAAAGGAGATAAAGGCCGCAAAAATTGAAAACAAACGATAGATTGCAAAAGATAACATGACCAACCCCAAAAAAGTCTTCAAATATATTAATAGTAAAAAGGTCTAGTCCGAGCATGTAGGCCCTTTACAAAATAATCTAGAGTGGGTAACTGGGGACAAAGAGAAGGCAAATGTATTTAATACCTTCTTCAGCTCTGTGTGTACAAAGGAGCATGCAGGAGATCTTGTCCATAGTGGGCATGGTATTGACACAGCTCCAGATGATCCACATTGGCTCACAATTGATATGATCCAAAAATATTTAGACAGAATAAAGGTGAATAAAGCACCTGGACCGGATGGCATACACCCACGGGTCCTTAAAGAATTGAGCTCTGTCATTTCAAAGCCATTGTTTCTAATTTTTAGGGACTCTTTAATGACTGACATAGTACCACTGGATTGGTGTAAGGCCAATGTGGTGCCAATATTTAAAAAGGGGTCAAAATCTTTACCAAGTAATTATAGACCTGTTAGTTTAACTTCTATAGTTGCGAAGATACTGGAGAGTTTAATAAAAGACCACATAGATGAGTTCTTGCTGGAAAAAAATATTTTAAGCAACAGACAGCATGGATTCATGAAAGACAGAAGTTGTCAAACAAATCTGATTTCTTTTTATGAGGAGGTGAGCAAAACCTTGGACAGAGGGGTGGCGGTGGACATGGTATACTTGGACAGGGGGGTGGCGGGCGGTGGGCGAGGTATACTTGGACAGAGGGGCGGTGGTGGACGTGTTATACTTGTACAGAGGGATGGCGGTGGACGAGGTATACTTGGACAGAGGGGTGGCGGTGGACGTGGTATACTTGGACAGAGGGGTGGCGGTGGATAAGGTATACTTGGACAGAGGGGTGGCGGTGGACATGGTATACTTGGACAGAGGGGTGGCGGTGGACAAGGTATACTTGGACAGAGGGGCGGCGGAGGACGTGTTATACTTGGACAGAGGGATGGCAGTGGATGAGGTATACTTGGACAGAGGGGTGGCGGTGGACGAGGTATACTTGGACAGAGGGATGGCGGTGGACGTGTTATACTTTGACAGAGGGATGGCAGTGGATGAGGTATACTTGGACAGAGGGGTGACTGTGGACGTGGTATACTTGGACAGAGGGGTGGCAGTGGACTTGTTATACTTGGACAGAGGGATGGCGGTGGATGAGGTATACTTGGACAGAGGGGTGACTGTGGACGTGATATACTTGGACAGAGGGGTGGCGGTGGACGTGGTATATTTGGACAAAGGGGTGGCAGTGAACGTGGTATATTTGGATTTTGCAAAAGCGTTTGACACAGTTCCCCACACACGGCTAATGTGTAAGGTAAAGTCTACGGGCTTGGAAAAATCTGTATGTAAATGGATAGAATACTGGCTAAAAGATGGTATTCAGAGAGTAGTGGTTAATGATTCATACTCTGAATGATCTGGGATCATCAGTGGTGTACCCCAGGGTTCAGTGTTGGGACCCTTACTTTTTAATATATTTATAAACAATATAGGGTCTGAGATTATAAATCCCATTTCAGAGTTTGCAGATGACACCAAGCTGTGCAGTGGAATAACTTCCTTACATGATGTCTCCAACTTACAAGCCGACCTCAATGCTCTGTGTAATTGGGCAACTATGTGGCAAATGAGGTTTAATGTTGATAAATGTAAGGTTCTGCACTTGGGGGCTAAGAATATGCATGCATCATACATACTGGGGGGGGTACAACTGGGGGAATCAATGGTGGAGAATGATCTGGGAGTTCTGGTAGATCACGAGCTTAATAATGGCATGCAATGCCAAGCTGCGGTTTCTAAAGCGAGCAAAATCCTCTCTTGTATTAGGAGAGGTATAGACCCCAGAGAGAGATATAATTTCCCCCAGTACAAATCATTAGTAATAACTCATCTGGAATATGCAGTTCAGTTTTGGGCACCAATTCACAAAAAGAACATTGGGGGACTGGAGAAAGTACAGAGAAGGGCACCCAAACTGATACGTGCTACCCAGCTCAGTGTATTGCTTCAAAAAAGACCTGGATTGTTTCTTAGATACAGAGAATATAACTGGAACTAAGCCTATCCCGCCCTCTGCTAATACTGGAATCCTCTACTCTTCCAACCAGTCCATCCCCCACAGTTATTACCTATTGTACCATTCAAAGCTCCCTCCTAGATTGTAAGCTCCAAGGATCAGGGCCCTCAAATCCCTCTTGTATTGAACTGTATTGTTGCTGTATTGTCTCCCACTATAATGTAAAGCACTGAGCAAACTGTTGGCGCTATATAATTCCTGTATAATAATAATAATATTTATAGGTAAAGTTGATCCAGGGAATATCCGATTGCCTCTCGGGGGATCAGGAAGGAATTTTTTTCCCAGCAGGAGAAAATTGGATCAAGCTTTGCTGGGTTTTTTCGCCTTCCTCTGGATCAACTGTGGGTGTAGGATTATCATTTTTTTTTTTTCTATGGTTGAACTGGATGGACTTTTGTCTTTTTGCAGCCAGACTAACTATGAATTTGGCATAAACAACATGACAGCAGGGATCCATCCTGCCTTGTATCAACGGTTCAGGCTGGTGGTGGTGGTGGTGTAATGGTATGGGGGAGATTTTCTTGGCACTAGGAAGGTATACCTAATAAAGTGGCCTCTAAGTGTATGTGTACCATGTATTAGGGTGTTGTGTCAGCTGCTTATTTTTTTTAAGTTTTGGAGCCCTAGCACATTTTTTTTTTATGTAAAAGTTGTATATATTATATCATTGGTGCCTTTTCTATATCGGCATGGAGTTCAGCTTTAACCACTTCCATACTTTTGGTCACCAGATCTATCGTGGTGAATGTAAAGCTATTTTGGAAAAAAAAGATCTGCAGAAAGTGTTCAGAAATGAACAGGAAATGATGGAGTGGACCCTGTACGTGTCTGTCACTGTTATCACTGACTCAGGTGAGGCTGGAGCTGGAGCTATAGGAGAACCTATTTCCTGATTTGTGAATAAACTGATTCTCTGTGGCTTTTCTCTGAAATTGTATGTGTGTCCTGTCATATCTATCAAGACAAATCTTTCAACTGTTTTCGAAATACTTAAAAATAGATCAGCTTCATTTCTATTAATATGTGGTAATGTTTGCAAATCACTCTATATATAACTTATATTTATATCTGTATGGGAAGGAACAGGATTGTCAGAAACATTTTCTAGTTGAATAAAATGTCCCATATTTTTTCTAAGAGATTAATGCCTGTATCCTCATCTTTTTCTACTGGCCAAATCGCAGTATAGTTTTCTCATTGTGGTATTGCAGAAAACAATACGCCATTTTAGCAACTAGATGGCGCTGATGATACAAAGGCATTCATTTCTTAGGCTCCATGTACACGGGACACTTCTGAATGATGGAAACTGACTGCTGGAAAATGTAGGTTAAAAAAACATCTGTTTAGCTGCGTTTGCATAACACGTTTATGCGCGTTTGTGTTTAGAAGAGTTTTTTAGAGATAAGCACAGGAGAACCTCCCAAATGCCCAGAATGCACTGAAAAGTGGTAAATTTATTAACTATAAAAAAAAAAAAAAAATTCAGACTGTTTCAGAGAAATACGGAGAGTAGAAGCAGAGACAGCAGTATGTGTTGAGATTAGCTTGGCGTGAGTTGCTCATTAACATTTCTTTTGTTTCCAAGGGTGGGAAAGGTGTCTGGTGGAGGGAGTCATTAAGGTCACCTGGCAGGGGGTCTTCATGAGGAATTTGAGGTGTGAATGGTCATTAACATTTCTTTTGTTTCCAAGGGTGGGAAAGGTGTCTGGTGGAGGGAGTCATTAAGGCCACCTGGCAGGGGGTCTTCATGAGGAATCTGTGGTGTGAATGGTCATTAACATATCTTTTTTTTCCAAGGGTGGGAGAGGTCTGAGGTGTGAATTGGTCATTACAATGTGTGACAAGCTTGGTAGGAACATCCTGTGTTCAGTGTTTTGTCCATTTGAGTACCTTGAACACTTTGCATGCATTTTCCATGACGAAAAAAGGCTCTGGACAGCATCGGAAACTGGAATAGTTAAAAAAAATATTCAAATGCAAACACTTATAAACGTGATTTGCCGTGTTTACAAGTGTTTTGCGTTTGAAACACTGATAAAATCGACTGCTGAACGCAAGTTTTCTGCGTTAAAAAAAACGACTGTAAACTCAAATGCCTGTAAACGACTGTAAACGAAGATGTGTACATGGACACGTAGGAAAACATTAGGGAGAGTTCAGGGGCTGCTAAAAAAAAAGCTGAACAGCTCCTAAACGTTTATCAGCTGCAGTGTACATGAGCCCTTAGATTCAACTTCTACTTGCACAAATGCTTCTGACATTCATGCAGCAAATGTTTTAGAAATAGACCCCTATGAGTCTGGCCAACTTTTCTGCGAGGTCTGACAGCCTCAGGGGGTGGGTCTATGACAGAGCGGGCTCAAAGAAAGTTGTGCTCACCGTCATTTGTCCCAAAACACTGGCACGGGGACAAGCTCTGGATTGAAGCAGAGTATTGCAGCTGCTTTTCTATATGTAATAATTCCCAGCCTCTTGATTTTTCGATTTTAAAAACTGAGTTGTGTTTTAAAGGTAGCCACTGCAATATTAGTCCAAAAAATATTCTATGCACCATACTTTCTGATAGGGATCCACCGATATATTGGTGTCTGGCATTTTTTGCTGGCTGATAGCTAAAAAAGTGGGAAATTTGAGCGGAGAGTGAAACAGTTTTACTCTTGACTGCTGGTGATTGCTGGTGCTTGTAGTTGTTTTATTTTTTTCTTGGGGTCTTGCTAAAAGCTTTTACTTTTTTAAATCACTTTTTCTGCCACTTTTTAAATAGCATTTTTTTCTTCCTTTCCTTGCCTTCCTTCAGTCTGCTAATTAAGGGGAGGGGTAATTGGTCACAGGTGACACAGGTCCTATATAACTTGCTGTACAGCTCACTCTGAGCTTGCTTGTATTTTGCTTGCTTTGATTAATGCAGGCCATAAATGGGTCGAAAATCGTCTGATTTTTCGGTTGAAAAAAAATCGCCGATTTTCGCACCGATAATGGGTTAATTGGTTGGCCATTTTTCTGGATTTTGGCACTTTTTTTGATCTGTAAAGTTGGAAAAAAAATCGTCCGATTTTGCCGACCGCCGATTTTTGCAGCACTGATGGGCAAATCGGCCGATCTTTTTACCGATAAAAAATCTGCGCATGAGCCATGATGAAGAGGAGTAACAGGAAGAGGAGGAGGAGGAAGAAGAAGAAGTTGGAGAAGGAAGAGGAAGAAGAGGAAGAATTCCAGTCCGCTATTATAGTTGACATGAAAAAGTATTGCAGTTGCAACAATGTATCTATTTGTATCCGAATAAAAACATCTGTATCTGAAATGGATAAAAATAGATACAATGTTGCAACTGCTATACTTTTTAATGTCAAATATAATAGTGGAGCTCTCTGCAGGGACAGAAGTAATTAAATGCTGGCCGTAGATGGGACGAAAATCAGCCGATGTTTTTTTTTACCGTTGGTGGTAATGTCGGCCTATTGAACGACCGATTTTTTTGTTTTTTTTGTTAAAAAAACGGCCGGGTTTCGACCCATCTATGGCCTGCATAAGTGGACCTTTGATAAAGGGAGTTAAAAAACCGGAGTGGAAAACATGAGAGTCTACTAACCTGTAAGTGACAACTGATATTTCCTATTAATATTGTAACTGGGATATGAGTGCTAGCAGGGTTGAGGGTTTTGTGCAGTGCACAGTGTGCTGCATGTATGCAACAATGGAGCAACAGCTCCAGGATGGATACCACTGCGACAGATGTGAGCTGGTTGCCCTTCTGGAAGCTCTTGTTAGAGATCTGGAGGAGCAAGGTGCAACACTGGGCGGAATCTACAACCTGGAAAGGGGTCTTCTGCTTTCTGAGCCAGTAGCTAATGGGATTGATGCGAGCATGTAGGCCCTTTACAAAATAATCTAGAATGGGTGACTGGGGACAAAGAGAAGATCAATTTATTAAATACAAAGGAGCATGGGGAGCTCTTGTCTATAATGGGCGTGGTTTTGACACAGCTCCAGATGATCCACATTGGCTCACAATTGATATGATCCAGAAATATTTAGACAGTATAAAGGTGACTAAAGCACCTGGACCGGATGGCATACACCCACGGGTCCTTAAAGAATTGAGCTCTGTCATTTCAAAGCCATTGTTTCTAATTTTTAGGGACTCTAATGACTGGCATAATACCACTGGATTGGCGTAAGGCCAATGTGGTGCCAATATTTAAAAAGGGGTCAATGTCTTTACCAAGTAATTATAGATCTGTTAGTTTAACTTCTATAGTTGGGAAGATACTGGAGACTTAATAAAAGACCACATAGATGAGTTCTTGCTGGAAAAAAATATTTTAAGCAACAGACAGCATGAATTCATGAAAGACAGAAGTTGTCAAACAAATCTGATTTCTTTTTATGAGGAAGTGAACAAAACCTTGGACAGAGGTGGCGGTGGACGTGGTATACTTGGACAAAGGGGTGGCGGTGGACGTGGTATACTTGGACAAAGGGGTGGCGGTGGACGTGGTATACTTGGACAGAGGGATGGTGCTGTACGTGGTATGCTTGGACAGAGGGATGGTGGTGGACATGGTATACTTGAACAGAGGGGTGGCTGTGGACGTGGTATACTTGGATTTTGCAAAAGCGTTTGACACAGTTCCCCACACACGGGTAATATGTAAGGTAAGTTCTACAGGCTTGGAAAAATCTGTATGTAAATGGATAGAAAACTGGCTAAAAGATGGTATTCAGAGAGTAGTGGTTAATAATTCATATTCTGAATGGTCTGGGGTCATCAGTGGTGTACCCCAGGGTTCAGTGTTGGGACCCTTACTTTTTAATATATTTATAAACCATGTAGGATCTGGGATTATAAATCCCACTGCACAGCTTGGTGCAGATGACACCAAGGTGTGCAGTGGAATAACGCCCTTACAGGATGTCTCCAACTTACAAGCTGACCTCAATGCTCTGTGTAATTGGGCAACTATGTGGCAAATGAGGTTTAATGTTGATAAATGTAAGGTTCTGCACTTGGGGGCTAAGAATAAGCATGCATCATACATACTAGGGGGGGGGGGAAACTGGGGGAATCAATGGTGGAGAAGGATCTGGGGGTTCTGGCAGATCATAAGCTTAATAAAGGCATGCAATGCCAAGCTTCAGTTTCTAAAGCGAGCAAAATCCTCTCTTGTATAAAAAGAGGTATAGACTCCAGAGAGAGATATCATTTCCCCAGTACAAATCAATAGTAACACCTCATCTGGAATATGCAGTTCAGTTTTGGGCACCAATTCACAAAAAGAACATTGGGGAACTGGAGAAAGTACAGAGAAGGGCAACTAAACTGATAAGAGGCATGGAGGAGATCAGCTATGAGGAAAGATTAGAGGAACGGAATTTATTCTCTCTTGAGAAGAGGAGATTAAGGGGGGGATATGATCTCCATGTATAATACATAAGGGGGGATATGATCTCCATGTATAATACATAAGGGGGGATATGATCTCCATGTATAATACATAAGGGGGGATATGATCACCATGTATAACACATAAGGGGGGATATGATCACCATGTATAATACATAAGGGAGGATATGATCACCATGTATAATACATAAGGGGGGATATGATCTCCATATATAATACATAAGGGGGGGGATATGATCTCCATGTATAATACATAAGGGGGGATATGATCACCATGTATAATACATAAGGGGGGATATGATCTCCATATATAATACATAAGGGGGGGATATGATCTCCATGTATAATACATAAGGGGGGATATGATCTCCATGTATAATACATAAGGGGGGATATGATCTCCATGTATAATACATAAAGGGGGATATGATTTCCATGTATAATACATAAGGGGAGGGATATGATCTCCATGTATAATACATAAGGGGGGGATATGATCTCCATATATAATACATAAGGGGGAATATGATCTCCATGTATAATACATAAGGGGGGGATATGATCTCCATGTATAACACATAAGGGGGATATGATCTCCATGTATAACACATAAGGGGGATATGATCACCATGTATAATACACAAGGGGGGATATGATCTCCATGTATAATACATAAGGGGGGATATGATCTCCATGTATAATACATAAGGGGGAGATATGATCACCATGTATAATACATAAGGGGGGATATGATCTCCATGTATAATACATAAGGGGGATATGATCTCCATGTATAATACATAAGGGGGATATGATCTCCATGTATAATACATAAGGGGGGATATGATCTCCATGTATAATACATAAGGGGGGATATGATCTCCATGTATAATACATAAGGGGGGATATGATCTCCATGTATAATACATAAGGGGGGATATGATCTCCATGTATAATACATAAGGGGGATATGATCTCCATGTATAACACATAAGGGGGATATGATCTCCATATATAATACATAAGGGGGGATATGATCTCCATGTATAATACATAAGGGGGGATATGATCTCCATGTATAATACATAAGGGGGGATATGATCTCCATGTATAATACATAAGGGGGGATATGATCTCCATGTATAATACATAAGGGGGATATGATCTCCATGTATAATACATAAGGGGGGATATGATCTCCATGTATAATACATAAGGGGGGATATGATCTCCATGTATAATACATAAGGGGGGATATGATCTCCATGTATAATACATAAGGGGGGATATGATCTCCATCTATAAATACATTAGTGGTTCATATAGTGAACTTGGTGTAGAGTTATTCACCCTGAGGTCATCACAGAGGACAAGGGGGCACTCTTCACATCTTGAGGAAAAGAGATGTAATCTCCAAACACAGAAAGGTTTCTTCACAGTGAGAGCTGTAAAAATGTGGAATAGACTCCCTCAAGAGTTGGTTCTGGCCAGCTCAGTGGATTGCTTTAAAAAAGTCCTGGATTGTTTCTTAGATACACAGAATATAACTGGATATAACATTTATAGGTAAAGTTGATCCAGGAAATATCCGATTGCCTCTCAGGGGATAAGGAAGGAATTTTTTTTCCCTGCAGGAGCAAATTGGATCATGCTTTGCTGGTTT